ACTATTTTTTAAACCATTTTATCAGACTATCAGACAATGCATTTAGAGAAGAAATTTAACTATTGCAAACTAAAATGCTTCTGCACAGCAAAGGAAACCATCAACAAAACAAAAAGACAACCTAACAATTGGGACAAGATATTTGCAAACCACATATCAGATAAGGGGTTAATATCCAAAATATACAAAGAACTCATCCAGCTCAACAACAAAAAAACCAACAATCCAATTAGAAAATGGGCAAAAGATCTGAACAGAGATTTCTCCAAAGAAGATATACAGATGGCCAACAGGCATATGAAAAGATGCTCAACATCATTAGCTGTCAGGGAAATGCAAATCAAAACTACAATGAGGTATCACCTCACTCTGGTCAGAATGGCTATAATTAACAAGACAGGAAACAACAGTTGTTGGAGAGGGTGTGGAGAGAAAGGAACCCTTGTTCACTGCTGGTGACAGTGCAAACTGGTGCAGCCACTATGGAAAGCAGTTTGGAGTATCCTCAGAAAATTAAGGATAGATCTACCATATGATCCAGCTATTCCACTGCTGGGTATTTATCCAAAGAACTTGAAAACACAAAGGCATAAAGATACTCGCACCCCTATGTTCATTGCAGCATTATACACAATAGCCAAGACTTTGAAGCAACCTAGGTGCCCATCAAGGGACGAATGGATAAAGAAGATGTGGTATGTATACACGATGGACTACTACTCAGCCACAAGAAACGACAAAATCCGGCCATTTGTGACAACATGGATGGACCTTGAGGGTATTATGCTGAGTGAAATAAGTCAGAAGGAGAAAGTCAAATACCATATGATCTCACTCATAAGTAGAAGATAAAAACGACAAAAAAAAAAAAACCACACATAGCATTGGAGATTGGACTGGTGGTTACCATTGGGGAAGAGTGGGGGAGGGCAAAAGGGGTGATTAGGGTCACAGGTGAGGGATGCACTATAATTAGTGTTTGGGTGGTGAACATGATGTAATGTATACAGAATTTGAAATATGACGTACGTCCAAAAAAATAAAAATTAAACAATAAATAAAATAACAAAAAAAAAAAAAAAGAAAGAAAACCATAAGGCAAAATAATCCTACAGTTTGTGTAGAGGAGTGGCTCTGCTATGGCACCCTAACAACTTTGCACATGTCCACATAAACGGTCCTTTTTGGAGATGGCAAACGAGTTTTCTTAGAGTCATTTATGGAGCTACCAAAATCCTTAAAGGAAGATCCAGGCATGGTAGATCCTCCTTTGAGTTTACCACCAGCCTCTCACTATTTGAGGTAAAGAGTGGCTGGGCTGAGCAGTTGGCACCCAGTGGGACCTATTTATAGCTGCTGTATTCAAATGAGGTATTGAGACAGCCCAGTCTTTGACTGGATGAAAAGTAAAGAAAGAATACGTGTAAATAAGCTGCTTGAAGATAAATTTGATTGGATAGGATTACTGCTTGGCATGAACCACTCAGGAAGCAAAGGCAACCAGACAGCCTAGTAGCGAGTGTAGCCTCTACCAAGAAGCTTTGAAAAGATTCTCCCTACAGCACCTAAATTCTGTAGATTTTAGTTTCAACTACTTGAGACAGACTGACCTACTTAACCTAAATCCATGAGGAATGATGTGGGCCTAGTTTGGGTTGTACATCCACCCACTCACCATCAACTGTAGTTAAAGACTGGCCACCCGTGGATTGAGCAAGAACTATTTGACCTAGGAGAGGAGAATGGTCTTGGAAAACACGGCACCTGGGCTGAGGCCCCAGTGTCTCCAGAACTGACTGAAAACCTCAGTAAATTGGGAAAATTCTGAAAAATTTGTACAGAAGGAGTTGGACTAGCATACTAAGAAATAGATTAAAGCAACATACTATAAAAGGTGGAGAACATTGTAAAGACAGTATTTAAACACTAAAGAAAAGCGTTAAACATGGCATAAAATGACATTTAACGCCTCTAATCAAAAACTAACGGACAGAGGCTGTCATTTCAGAAGTGGTTGGTACATGAGAGCATATACACACAGTACTATACAACCTTGAAAACAAAAAACTGCAAAAGACCTTTATTCATAAGGAGAGGTGTGAAAGCTGAGAGAAAATTCAAACTTTTTTTTCCTGTTGTGTTAATTTACTAGTTGACTGGGTGATTCACAACCAAGTAATTATTAGCAAAAAGACACATTAACTAGAACTTTAATTTGAAAAACTAAAATGGCTCCAAAAAATGTCTTTGGTTTAGGATATTCAAGTGCTGATAAAAGGAATTCACATGCAGCTGGTGCACTTATTGATAGCCTTGGTTAAGCAATCGTTTTCTAGGCTGTCATTTTTTAAAAAGCCAAACGAAAGCACTAAATCTGGGAAGCAGAGGCATTATTAATAGAAACAAAATATATAAAATGTGTGCACTAGAAAGAAAATTTCAACCCTTTTGAAGTATGACCTACAGTAAGTAATATACATTTTTACACTGTGATGCAATGCCAGTATAACATGTTCATTATGTATAAGTATAGACGTGTTTTGGAATCAAAAGTTTCACAAAACAATTTTTACTCTTACTAAGTGGGATGCACTCTGCCTTATTCCATTCCATTTTAGCCTAGTTCATTCTGTTTTTTTCTTTTTAAATGCTGTTCATGAAGCACCAAATTGATTTTACAGGCAAGTAGCGACTCATAGTTTGAAAAGTATTGGGATGATGGAAACAGCCGATCAGAGTACTTGACACTTTAGTTCCAATGGTGACAGAGTACTCTGGGCTGAGCAAATAAGAGCCTTTCCTGGGATTTTCAGACCTGGAGCTTGAACGCAGCTGCTTTTTCTTGTCTTTTTATAGATATGAGGAATGAGATTCCAGAATTGCCTGGAGACATGTCTCTTGTCTCTTAGAGAAGATTAAGAAAAGCAAATGGAAGTGTAAGAGAACAGGCAAACTGAGTTTGGAAAGTTTCATTTTGTTTCGCTGGGAGAGATCTCATTGCAGTCTCTCTGGTCTCCGGAACTGCGCTTGTTACAGCCATTCCTCCTTATCTTCTGTCACCTACCTCAGGCTCTATCTTTGCTTTTTCTCTTTCTTTCTTCCAAAGCCATTTTTGTTGGATTCCTGTCACTTCGAAGCACAGATGTCTGACAAATAGAAGCCACAACTAATAGAGTATGATCAAAACTGAACCTTGTAGTGGAATGGCCAAAAAATTAATTTGGCTCCTAATCCTCTTTTGTAGCAAAAATGGAGGTCAATGATCCTGCCCCTCATCGTCATTTAGCGCCAAAGGGAAAAGGAGAATCTGAGTGGGAGAGGGAAGAATCAAAAAGGATTGAGTCAAATCAAAAGCTTTAAGGTAAATGTTGGAACCAGAAAGAAGCCAGGTCAAGCCCGAGACAAACTCCTCATCTTCATAAAGGTAGCAGAGGGCAAAGAAACAAAAGAAAAAGAAGAGGAGAAAAGAGAAACTACGCTTGGTGTTTTTCTCCAAGATTTGAAATCTAGGTACCATTTAAATGACTGACATGGTCATTGGGGCCTAATAAACAAAAATGTTTCGGATAAGAACAAGGAGTCGTCAGATTCAAAATGTCCGCCTCACACACCTGGCCCAGCAGCACATACAGTCTTCACCCTCCTCTCTCAAGACAGGCTGTAGAAATCAGGGAGTTCATGAACCCACACCGAAGCAGCGATTCACACTTAAGTTGTGGAAAACTACTCTTCCATTTGGTAATTCAACACCATCAACACAAATCAATAAACAAGTACAAGTCAACGTCCTTAAAAATAGAGCACCAAACTTAGAAAAACTAGTGCCCCCCCCAAAAAAATAGTGTATTTGTATGAATATTTAAATTAGATAAATGAATAACGACAAAAATGTTTGGTGATATATTGTCCTTATAGGTCCTTAAAGAATCGGGTGCATGAAAAAGAAAGATTTTGGAAAAAAAAAAGTTTTCTTAGAAATAACAAATATTCCTAGACTCCCTGGGTAGTTGGACTCCTGACTCTGTTTTCTTTTTTTTTTTTTCTTTTGTTGATATTATTTTTTTCCTTTTTTTTTATTGAGTTATTGATAGGTTACAATCTTGTGAAATTTCAGTTGTACATTAATGTTTGTCAGTCATGTTGTAGGTGCACCACTTCACCCTTTGTGCCCACCCCCCACCCCACCTTTCCCCTGGTATCCACTAAACTGTTCTTGGTCCATAGTTTTAAATTCCTCATATGAGTGGAGTCATACACAGATTATCTTTCTCTCGCTGGCTTATTTCACTTAACATAATTCTCTCAAGGTCCATCCATGTTATTGCAAATGGAATGATTTTGTTCTGTTTTGCAGCTTAGTATTCCATTGTATATATGTACCACATCTTCTTTATCCATTCGTCTGTTGATGGGCACTTAGGTTGCTTCCACGTCTTGGCTATTGTAAACAGTGCTGCAATAAACATTGGGGTGCACAGGACTTTTGGGATTGCTGACTTCAGGCTCTTTGGATAAATACCCAGTAGTGGGATGGCTGGATCGTATGGTAGTTCTATTTTTAGTTTTTTGAGGAATCTCCATACTGTTTTCCATAGTGGCTGCACCAGTTTGCATTCCCACCAGCAGTGTATGCTGACTGTTTTCTTACTAGCAAGTTACTTAACCTCTCTGTAAAATGGGCACAATAATAGTGCCTACCTGCTGCAGGAGATCACAGCAGCGTTCTTGCTAGGCTTTAAGCCTAAGGAAAAATAAATTCCAAATGGCTGACTGGGGGGATGTGTGATCTGCTGATTTTCATAATCTTTATGAAGGCATGAAGGCAAGGGGCTCAGGAACGCCCGGCCCTTGCAGGAACAGAATGCTGCCTGCATACCTTGCTGATTGTCCTTGAGATACTCTCCAAGGGAATGACCTTGGATGGGCTGGTGTGCTTCGGGGGATGAAGAAGAGAACCTTTGGACTCTGGCCTGCGTGTCCCTGCAGGCATGAGTTTCTGCTATTATAAGTGCTTGTGATTCCTTACCCGCAAATAAATATGTGGCGCTCCGAGAGACCTCACCTCAGTCCTTGAGGCTGATGGTCCCCTGTCCCATTGAATAATATAGATTGTGTTCTGTCCATTAATTCTGTCCACCCCTTCGGCTGGCTGTCTAGCTGGTCTCGGCAGCAAGTGGCGCTCAACGTGGGGCACGAAGGAAGAGTTGCCAAAGACCGACGGCGGAGTTTCAGCGGTGCGGAGGGAACCTGGAAGCGGTGTGAGACCTCAGAAGATTCCCCGTGTGGGTAAGTGCTTCCAGAAGTTTTAACAGGGTAAATGGGTAATTTTGAAAGCACAGAACGGTATCGCCCTTACATCTGCTTACTCAGGCAATTGCTGAGGGCAGCGGGGGCTAAGATCAGTAAAAATCAATTGTTTGAGTTGTTGCAAATCATAGAGAAGCATTGTACTTGGTTTCCTACTCTAGGTACGTTAGATTTACAATCATGGGAAAAGGTGAGAACTGAATTAAAGAAAGAACGTCAGAAGGGCATTCCGATGCCTGTGACTATATGGAACACTTGGTTATTAATTCGTTCCTTACCAGAGCCCGTCCAAACCCATGACTCCTCAGAGGAGAGCGAAGGAGAGACAGACAGAGAAGAGGGAGTCTCCTTTACTGATCACATCAAGAGCCCTGAATATGCAGTCTCTGAAGAGACGGCTACTAAAAGGAAGGAGCACATGTGGCCAACGGCACCTGAGCCTGATGAAATATTTCCACCGCCCACTCCGGTCCTATTCCTTCCTCCACTCATTCCGGAGTTTGTTGGCGGCGCCATAGCTAAGCGTCCTCCGGCTTCCATACTTTCGCCTTTACCAATGGGAGTTAAACAAGCAGTAAAGGAGGGAGATCTGGAAGCCCTTCACGTGGCATTCCCTGTAACGGTTCATGAGAGGGTGGCTCCTGGTGTTGATCCTCAAACTCCCAATGGCATATATGAAGCTGTTCGTCATCCTTTTCCTTTTAAGATCTTAAAAGAGTTAGAACAGGCAGTTCAGAATTATGGAGTTACTCTCCCTTCGCAGTCGGTATGGTTCAGGGGATCACTGAGGGCAATAGACTGATCCCTACGGACTGGTCAACTTTGGCAAAGACTGTCTGAGCCCCCGGGGAGTTTTTGCAATTTCATACGTGGTGGCAAGATCATGCCGAGACAGCAGCCGCGCATAATCAGACCAGACAAATTCCGATATCTTTAGAACAACTGATGGGCATCGGACCTTGGGCTGAATTACAAAATCGGCTAAGGATGGAGGATCAAGCTATAGGACAATTAAGACACTGTTGCCTGAGACCGTGGGAAAAGATTGAGACGAAAAGTACTGCCGCTGTCTCATTTCGGAGAATCATTCAAGGGCCTAAATAACCATACACAGAATTTATTGCTAGACTACAAAAAGCTATTAAACGACAGATAACTAATGGAGAGGCAGCAGACACTATTTTACAATTACTGGCTTATGAGAATGCTAATTCTGATTGTAAGAAAGTACTTGGGCCATTTAAGGGAAAGGGTAATTTGACTGATTATATAAAAATGTGCCAGGGAGTGGGAACTGAGACTTTTAAGGTGGAGATGTTAGCACAAGCCATGGCAGGGCTGCGAGTGGGCTAATTTCCTGGAGTATGTTTTAGTTGTGGGAAATCGGGCCACACTGGAAAGGAATGCAGGATTAAAAGGAAGAAAAGTGATAATGGCTCTAACCAAAAAAATGAGGAAAACACCTGCCATTCCTGGGCTGTGTTCTCATTGCCAGAAAGGGAATCACTGGGCTAGTCAATGCCAATCTAAATTTCATAAGAATGGGAACGTACTATCGGGAAACTACCGGAGGGGCGGGCTCCCAGCCCCGACAAACAAGGGGGCCTTCCCTGCTTAGAAGCAGGAAAACGACACCAACAGTTACAACCCCCGTGCCTTGATTTATCCCCCGCCACGAGTGGAAGTTCCTCAGTAGACTTAACCAGCAGTGAGAATTGCGTAGTCACTCCCTCTGAAACTCCTACTCTGGTTAACACTAGGATGTTGGTCCCTTACTTAAAGGCGTGGTTGGACTACTTTTAGGGAGGTCAGGATTGACTTCACAAGGGGTTAGGGTGCATACTGGGGTTATAGATAGCAATTATCAAGGGGAAATAAAGGTTATGGTGTCTACATCAATTCCCTGGCAGATAAAAAAGGGAGATCGCATTGCTCAACTTTTAATCTTGCCCTGTATTGCTATAGGAAACTCACAACAAACTAGAGGGTGATGAGGATTTGGCAGTATGGGACAAGCGGGGGTTTTCCTTACTGAAAAAAGTTTAGAATCTCGACCAACCTGCAAAATTAGCATCAGTGGAAAAACACTTGATGGGATAATTGATACTGAGGCAGATGTTTCTATCATCAGCTGTAGACACTGGCCTTATCGCTGGCCTACCATTCCTCCCCTGATTTCAGGTATTGGCCTTGGGGAAGCACAGGGGTTGCAGCAGAGTTGGAATATATCACATTGCACTGGGCCAGATGGACAAAAGGCTACCTTACAGCCTTATGTCGCTGATCTTCCATTAATCTATGGGGACGAGACTTAGAACAATGGAAAGCAGAAATATATATTCCTCCTCAGGTATTCTACAGTGAGCAGTCACAAAAAATTATGGAAAAACAGCATGTCCCGGGTTTAGGACTAGGAAGGCAATTACAGGGACAAGTAAGCCCTGTATCCCCTAGTGGGAAACAGAATAAGGATGCATTAGGATACTTGCCTTTTTAATGGAGGCCACTGCTCATATAAAGCTACCCCCACCGACACCTATATTGTTGGCATGGAAATCTGACAAACCTATGTGGGTAGAGCAGTGGCCTTTCAAAAAGGAGAAATTTGGGGGGCCGGCCCGGTGGCGCAGCGGTTAAGTTCGCACATTCTGCTCCTTGGCGGCCCAGGGTTCGCCGGTGGGGTGCAGACATGGCACTGCTTGGCATGCCATGCTGTGGTGGGCCTCCCACATACAGAGTGGAGGAAGATGGGCATGGATGTTGGCTCAGGGCCAGGCTTCCTCGGCAAAAAAGAGGAGAACTGGCAGTAGTTAGCTCAGGGCTAATCTTCCTCAAAAAAATAATAATGATAATAAAAATGAATAAAAAAATAAAAAAGGAGAAATTGGAAGCTGTTAAAGAATTAGCTAAAGAACAACTCAAAAAGGGGCATATCAAGATGTTTAGCCTGTGGAATTCTCCTGTTTTTGTAATTAAAAAGATAGCAGAAAAATGGAGAATGTTAACCGGTTTGAGAGCTATGAATGCTACTATAATTCTTATGGGTGCCTTACAACCTGGATTACCGAGTCCTAATACAATACCAAAGGACTGGAAAATTTTAGTCATAGATCTGAAAGATTGTTTCTTTACCACCCCCCTACATGAAAAGGATCAAATGCACTTTGCTTTCTCTGTGCCCTCCATCAATTTGGCCGAGCCACACAAGAGGTTTCATTGGACTGTCCTACCACAAGGGATGTTGACTAGCCCTACTACATGTCAAAATTATGTTGCTAAAGCTATAGACTCCGTGAGGGCAAAATATCCACAAGCGTATATTATTCATTATATGGATGACATCCTTTGTGCAGCCCCAGACACTAATTTATTGTCTGTCTTCCAAGAATTACAACTTCGTTTGAATCATGCGGGGCTAAAAATAGCCCCAGAAAAGGTTCAACTCATGGAACCTTATCTCTATTTAAGCACAATAGTAGAAAAAACCACTATCAGACCTCAAAAGGTTCAAATTCGGAGGGACTCAATCACTGCTTTAAATGATTTACAAAAATTGCTTGGTGACATTAACTGGTTAAGACAAAAATTAGGAATACCTACATATGCTTTATCATGTTTATTCTCACTTCTGAGAGGAAATTCCGATTTAAATAGCCCTAGAAGCTTGACAAAAGAAACAAATCAAGAATTAGAACGAATTGAGCGATATATTCAAACTGCCCAAACGCATAGAGTCAACCTTCATATTCCAATTTCATTATATGTTATTTCTACACCCCATTCACCAACAGGAATCCTAATGCAGCAAAATAATTTATTAAAATGGATATTCTTACCCCATACCTAGATCTTACTGCTGAAGTAATAAGTTGGGGACGAGAAAGAACTAAACAACTTTCTGGAAATGACCTAGGTACAGTTTGTTTGATGTTATTCCACAAAGAAGTATCACAATGTTTTCAAAATCATATGAAATGGCAGTTGGCTTTTGCTGATTATGTGGGAAAAATAGGTAATGATTTTCCCAAAATATCTGTTTTACAATTTTTACAAAGGACTGGGTGGATCATTCCCAAGATCACTAAATTGACTCCTATCCGGTGCCAACATTATATTTACAGATGGCTCCAGTAATCATAAGGCCGGTTACACCGGAGCATCTACCTGTGTGATAGATACTCCTAGATTATCAGCTCAGCAGGCTGAGTTAAAAGCGATCACTCATACTTTACAAAATATCCAGGAACCTATTAACATTTTATCTGATTCCCATATGCTGTTCAAGTAACATGTTTGATTGAAACAGCACTTATCAAACAAAATCTTTCCGATTCCTTATATGTTCTTTTCAATGATCTACAAACCACCATTCGTAACCAGCATCACATATTTTATATAACCCATATCTGAGCCCATACTTCTCTTCCAGGACCTCTCACAGAGGGAAACGCCCAAGCAGATGCATTACTATTGCCAATTTTTTCTGACGCTCAACATTTTCATGCTTTAGCTCACTGTAATGCTAAAGGTTTAAAGATGCAATATGACTTAACGTGGGCCCAAGCTAATCAAACTGTACAAACTTGTCCCACTTGTCAAGAAGTAAACATAGTCCCTGAAACTCATATAGGAGTTAATCCTAGAGGTTTAAAACCTAATGACCTCTGGCAAATGGGTGTTACTCATATTCCCTCCTTTGGGAAGATATCATTTGTAGATGTTTGTGTTGATACTTTTTCTGATTATATTTGGGCAACTGCCACTACGGGAGAGATTGCCAAACATGTGATTATGCACCTTCATAGTTGTATGGCAGTAATGGGCCGACCTAAAGCCATAAAGACAGATAACGGTCCGGCCTATGCCAGCATCTCTCTTGCTAAATTCTTAACAGATTGGGGTATCCGCCATTCTACAGGCATTCCATACAACCCTCAGGGACAGGCCATTGTAGAACAAGCAAATCAAACTCTGAGTCA